TTGCTGAGTATTGATTCACTCTTTTTCCAAATCTAAAACCTGTCAACCTCTGCCATATTCCCCTTTATATGCAGTAAGATGAGGCAGTTGTTACATGGCTTTGGCTGCAGTGTTATTATGTTCAAATACAGAACCTGCAAACAGCACCGAGCTTCTGTGATAAACGGTGATCGCGGCTGCAGTGGCTTTCTGTCCGCACAGCAGATAAAGTAAAAGCCTTTTTTTTAACGTAACAGCGTGACTTGCGTTCTCCTTTTGAATCATTGATTTCTGCAAACCACAGATGTCTTGATTCTGATTTTTAACGTCCAAAGTAAAAACTGTGGATAAATCACCTGCACGACAGAGACTGATGCACACAAACACACCCTTATCCTCCCACCCTTTCCATGTACACACACACACACACACACACATCACAACCTAAACACTTGTTCTGGACCATTATTTTCACTCCCCTCATCTCGCTGCTTCTCTTCTGGGCGTGCCAATCACAGTTTCTATCTCAGGTCGCTGTTCTTTTAAGCTCTACCGCAGACTACTACCAGCGTTTCCAGGTTATACGAAGCAGGTAGGAAGTCTCCCAGTCTGCAGGAGGCCCTCGGAGACAGGACTCAGACAGACATGAGTTGTTGACTGGCCACCCTGCAGTGGGCGATGGCCTGTCAGTGCTTTTGCTGTGGATTGAAAGGACATCAGAACATTGTTGTGGGTCCAAACATAGAGAAATGAGGGCGCGTATTTGCTGGATTCCTGAAGTGTGTGCAAAACGCCTGGTAATTCAGACAAAGAGGAGACAGTTCAGAGTTCTTTGTTCTCTATTGTAAACCCTTTCTCCAAATATTGCATTATAGGTGTGAAGGATTAGAGTTCCGCTAATTATGAGGTTATGAATGGAATTATATCTCCCTGAGGTTGCCGAATCATTACTGTGATAATAGCAGTCTTGTTATTCATATATCAAGATATGCCAGCGAGCCTTTTATAATAAATGTGCTGTGAAGGCTTTGCTGCCTCTATAGTCTTATTTCCACTGTGAAAAATGTATAATTTTATTGCCTGCTTTCAAAGAAAGCATAGGGCACAATTTTGTGGAAGAGTCTGTATTCAAAAGTGAAGACAAAAAATGCATCTTTGAAGCCATATGTGGCTGTTTTATTCTTTAAAAGCAAGATGAAAAACATATTTCTGAGTGCAGCTCCTTTTTTTGAAGCTTCATGGAGCAAAAAGTGTTTCATTTTTTTTTTTAAAAAGGGGAGCAACGTTGTATTCTTGGAGGGAGATTACAAAGACTCTGGGTATCGTCTCATTAATACGTAAATGACCGAGTTATTTCAAGACTTGCTTGTCAGATTAATGAGGCATATCCCTTTTAATACACACTCACTGCCATCTTCTCACACACACACACACACTTAAGACTCAAAGTGTAAGTTGGAGAGATAGAAGGTAGGATGGAGTAAGAGAGCTTGAGATGCTTTTAGAGCCCCCCAGAGAGAGGGGAAGAGTGAGGGGGAGAAAGACTGGAAGGCTTCCAAATGTTCCACTGTGGAATATCTTCAAGGACAATCAGCTAAACAGTTGATATTAAAAGAGCTGTGTGAAATCGATTGCTCAAGGTGTTATCTGCGCTGCAAAAATGGCTGGTAATTAGTCATGGCTAAAGGAGTGTTAGCGAGAGAGTGAGATGGATTTAATCTTAATAGATTTCACTGCACTGCAGATACAGTAGCTCCTGAGTGAAGGAGCTCTCCTCTTTCTCTCCCCCTCACTCACTCTGGATATCTATCAGAGGAGAAGCGGCTGAGCGAGTCGCTGTGATGTACTGCTGCTGCTTGATTTGCCCAAACCTCCAAATGGCAGAGTTATTTTTTCAAAAGGCAACGCACATTTGGCAGCTGTACTCACTTTTATTCTTCTGGCTCTCCAGCAACAGCAGCTCAGGAGCTATTATTTGTTTATGTATAAAGCTTGGGCAATGAGGCACTTCAGTCCATGGCAGCTGTTGACTTAGAGATCTTGGTGCGGCATTTAGAGGCAATCAGCGAACAAAACCCTGAGTGACTAACTGGGAGATTGTGTTGTTTGCTGCTCTGCGATGTACCGGTACCCTCCCGAAACAGGCCAGATGCGTGTGTTAGTTTAGCGATTAGTGGGGCGAGGATTGATGAAGTGAGCTGAAGCAGGGAGTGTTTGGGAGAGATGTCAGCAGGCAGGTGAGGAAACTTTGTTTATTGTGTGCGGGAGAAATACCTGGAGTTAAATGTGGCTTTGAAGCTTTTATTAAGCCTCCTGCCATACACATTTCAGAAAGAGGAAAACAAAACACATTTCACATGTTCTGTCCATCCACAACGCTCTGCAGTTAATTTCCTCAAGGGACCTCAACTGGGGTCTAATTCTAACATTTACTCGTACCAGTAGCAGTTCAGAAAAAGATAAAGAGATAAAAATTAATATTAAGATGAATTTAGTTCGTTGGGATGGCCCTCCGCAAGAGTCCCAGTTTCCCTTGTAGCCCCTTGGGAATATTATTAATATTTGTCCACCCCTGATGGTCCAACCCCGTGTTGATTTTCCAGTCTGGCCTCTAGCAGGAAACTAATCTGAAGAAAAGCAGAAAGTCAAAAATGAAATGGCATTACTGCTGGAAGCTTTAACATGGGAGTCTGTGAGGACTGGAGCCAGCCGTTACAGAGACTGCACTTTTTGGCTTCATTTTTCAGCCTCACAGCTTTGTTGAAACCTTTTGAATATTTGAGTTCTAGATCAAGCCAGTGAGATAAATGATTTAAATGGCTAAATTACCTCCTCAACATGTCTTGAAGTTCTCCAGAGGCCTGGTAATGAACTAATCATTTGATTCAGGTGTGTTTGACCCAGGGTGAGATCTAAAACCTGCAGGACTCCGGCCCTTGAGGCCTGGAGTTGGACACCCCTGTCCTAAACATAAGTTGGTTTGTGAATTCGCTTCCGTTGCATGGTTGTTGAATTATTTGTTGGTTTCATCTTGACCACAGTTTTATTTTCACTCAATGAAAGTGACATTTTGTGAGTTTTGATTTTTTCTTAGGTTTTCTGCCAGTATATTTTCAGCCCGGTAGCTCACTCGGCTTAAACCGACGCCCTGCTGGGTCTAAGCCAGGGGTAGGCAACTCCAGGCCTCGAGTGCCGGTGTCCTGCAGGTTTTAGATCACACCCTGGGTTAACACACCTGAATCAAATGATGAGTTCATTACCAGGCCTCTGGAGAACTTCAAGAAATGCTGAGGAGTCATTTAGCCCTTTAAATCAGCTGTGATGGATCATGGACACATCTAAAACCTCCAGGACACCAGCACTCGAGGCCTGGCGTTGCCTACCCCTGGTCTAAGCAATGGGCAGTTTGTATTTTGAATATGTTTTTTGACATCAGCTACTAACCTTACATTTCCTAATGTATTTTATTCAATTCTTCACTTAATGCGGTTGATTATGAATTGTTCAGTTGACAGTTATAATCACCACTTGAGCAGCTGTACATCTGAAGTCTGAATTAGAGAGAGCAGCACCTACACAGCTCTTCTGTTTCCACAGACTACACCGTATAGTGTGGAGTTGTTGTGACTTAACAGCTTTTCAGGTGAAAAACAAGCTTCTTATTCTGCGCAGCTCAGGAAACAGGCAGTTGCATTTAGTGCTGATTTTTCTCCACAATCCAGGACGAATTCTCACAATCAGATGTTGATTGCCTACACCACTCAGCTTCACAAAGGAACTGATGCTAATTAGTAAATGTGAGCATGTTAATACAGTAAAGTAAGATGTTGAACAAGGTAAACGTGATGCCTGCTAGATATTGGCACTGTTTTTCTTAGCAATAAGATTAAAACCACCAAAATGTTTAAGTACAGCAAGGATCATTTTTAACCAAAAGGTGGGGGCTCCGTAGTTTATGACAGACGGGGATTAAATGGTTCATTGTTGGAGACAATCTTCAGCTGCAGAGAAATGCACATTTTTTATTTTGCCGATCATTTATAGCAGCAGGATGGTGGATGAATGATTGACTCGAATTAACCCTCTAGGGTTTCACCACACACAAACAACCAGAAAAGCACTCAGCTGTACTTTTGTTTGTCAGAGGCCAAGTTTGAAGAAACAAAACACTTTATTTCATTGAAAAATGAATAAAATATTGGAAATTCACTTTCTACCATTTAAATTATTGATAATGTTATTTTGAGTTTACCGAAGCATGGCGTGCTTAAAAAAATTATATCCGCAACCTGCTTGTGTCTTACGGTGCAGATTTTTGGAGGAACCAGTTAAATACAAACTAAGCCCCTCGAGGGTTAAAGCGGGTTGTTTATCTTAATTAAGGAACAAGCTGCACATTGCCACCATGTGTCTCATTTTGTAGGAACAATTGAGCCCTGTAGAACGGAGGAATAAGTGACGTAATCCTGCGCCTTTTACCGTGACGTTTTTCTAAACCACTCCCAAATCTGGCAGTGATTTTTGATACCAGCCCAAGTATCAGCAGTGTCCCCACTAAAAGCCTTTCCCAGTCAAAAGTTGTGTGTGTGTGCGTATTTTAACATTTTATTTGCCTTCAGAATAACTGACTAATACTAATTTTGAAAATATTTGTCGAGCCAGACTTTGTGGTTAGAACCTGCTTGTTTTCTAATGGGAGCGGCAAAGTGGCAGCGTCATTAGGAGCGAGATCACATCTGGAATTTATTTTTCTTCAGTAGCGTTTGTTAAGTAATTTATGTTACAAGGATTTACAGTGTTCATAGTAAATGGTATGAATCAGCGTTTGTGTTGTTGTGGGTAGTAGCTGCAAACAAATCTGTAATTATTTGTGTGTGTATATAATTGCTTTGTTGGTTTTACACTGTTTAAGCAGGCCTTTTTTTTTTTCAGTAACCAAACTGCTCTCACATTTGTAGTTTTTATTGCTTTTGTATCTAAAACATGCTTTTTCCCATCTCTTTTCTATGTTTTTCCTACAGAAGCTGAAGCAGAAGAACCAGCACCTGAAACAGATCATGGACCAACTCCGCAACCTCATCTGGGAGATCAACTCCATGCTGGCTGTCAGGAGCTGAGCCACACACACAAACACACGTGTACAAGGTGCAATCAGAAAGTTTAGAGACGGTATCTATAAAATCTTTAAAAGTAAAGTAGTCTTTAGGACAGGCTGCATCTCATCCACAGCTTCCAAATAACAGCTGTTGCTTAATATGAAGCTCATTTTGTGAGCAAGGATGATCTAAGCAAACAGCTTGTAGGGACTTACTTGTTCAGCAACAACACGAGGCATAGGGTGGGTAGTGGGTGTGTCAGTGTGGCCAAAGAACCTGTGCAATGTCACCACGAACCACCGAGCTGCCGTCGTGCCAAAGTTTGTGTTGGTTGAATCTTCTCAGACCTCATTGACAGTTTGACACTGTGGATGAATTCACAGTGCACACACTGAATGTTGAAGAAAACAATGCAAAGCATGCTCTTTGTTCTGCACTTCATGCTTTGGCACTTTAGGTTCTTCTCCTGCAAAAACAACCTGTTTAGTTGTTAAGGCAAAGCAAAACAGCCAACTAAAATCGATGATCTGCGAGACAGATTTTGGCTCATTCTGGAGTCTGTTGATAGATCTGCTTGCAGACTCTGAGACACTGTGCCTGTTTCACGGCATAAATGTGCACCTGCACGTGGATACAAAAATATCAATGACCCCTGACTCACAAAAGTTAATTTAATCACCCGTTCACATTCACATAATCAATGTCTCAGTCGATTCTTTCTCAACGGGCACAAGCTCAGATTTTTTTTGATTGCACCTTGTATGTAGGACATCCACAGGTACACATGGACTACAGATAATGGATTGTGATGGGTTCTTAAACTGGATCTATGACAGGTTACCACAGACTGGCTGAAGCAGTGCTTCACAGAAGGAATTGGTACTCTAGCAATATCAAAAGGCTTCTAAAAGAAGACATTAAAGAACAGAGGATACACAAGAGGAGACAAATGAGGGCAAGACATCCCATGGAGGAGCCAGGGGATGGAGGGCACCGGTGTCATCAGCATGGCAGAAAAGATTCTGTCTACCTCGACATTCAACATTACAATCAGCATTTTTTTCCTTCTCAGTTAATCTGAAGAGTTAATGTTTTATCTGTCTGTAGCTGCTAGCTCAATAGAGGGTTTATGCCTGTAGAGAAATTGATATATTCTATTTAATCCTTATATTCTGTTACATGCCTATGTTACAAATGTATATTGTACTTGAGAACTTCAATAAGAAAAAACACTGTGGCAAAATCACGAGTCTTATTGTGAATATGTTGATCTTTTTAAAGTGGATGTTAGCTTGTATTTTAATCCAACCGATTATCTGGTTCCAATTTTCATTTTCTTGTAAGTAATGGGGACAACACATGTTCAAGAACATTAGTATGCCAAGTGTACAAACAAGATTTTAGTAAAACAGCTTATTTACATCCGTAATCCTATAACAACTGAACTAAATCTTCCTGTGATTTTATTTTTTGAATCACTCTTTTTTTCGATTTATTTAATCTGTATTTTCATTAAGCATTTCCCACAGTGTTGCTGTTTTAACGCTGAGGGAAGCACAACTGAAGGTTACTAATGGACCCTCCTCATACTCTCTGATGGTAAATTCATTTGTGTGCTTCTGCTGGACCTCAGTACAGCATTTGATACCAGTTTGTGGATGTAAATGAGGAATCTTTCTCACACAGCGAGTCATGGAGTTCCTCAGGGTTCTGTGCTGGGACCTTTAATTTTTATATTGTACATACTTCTCTTAAGTGGTAGTATTACAAAGCACAACATCCATTTTCATGGCTAATCAGATGAATCCCAGCTTTATTTATCCATGCAGTCACTCAAATCAGTTGGTTAAACTAAACTAAAGGCATTTCTTAAAGGCCTGGGTGAGCTCTAATTTCCTGCATTGTTGAAGTCAGCCCCAGCTGCCATGGAGTAAGAGGCAGGATACACTGCCTGTAGGGCTGTCACAGAGAGACAGACAGCCATTCACACCTGTAGGTAATTTAGAGCCACCAGTTAACCTAATCCTACAAACTGCATGTCTTTGAACTGGGTGAGGAAGCCAGAGCACAGACAACTTGACGTAGGAAGGCCCCGGCCAGATGGTGGATTTGAGCCCAGTACCTTCTTACTGTGAGGCAACAGCGCTAACCACCTTTACAGTTCAGACAAGAGTGAGGTCATTATATTTGGCCCTAAAACCTTAGAAATATGGCACTTAGGCATTTGCTTCACTTATCAGACCCGGAGGCTACATCACTTCTTTTTATATGCAGTCTGGTCCAATCACTGGACCGCAGCGTGCTTTTACTGTGCGTGAGTGTGTCTTTATTGAAGACAGAATTTCTCCTCTTCATAAAAGTCCAGTTGATATTTCAAATCATCTGGTGTATTATTACAGGTGAGGCCAATTATAGCTCATCTACCCACTGTTGGAAAAATGTCACTCAATATAACTACATCTTAGGTAAAGGTCAGCTGTCAGTAACTAAACCAGAGGTCTCAAACAAAAGGCCCAGGGACCAGAATCAGCCCGTATAAGAGTCCAATCCGGCCCTCTGCACGTGCGCACATCTTTGGAAAATGCAAACAAGGGCATAAATTTTAGTGTTTTAACTCAATTACAGTATTTCTTACAGTGCTGATAGATTTTTTTTTTCCCATTCTGGTAATAGAGCAGCATTTTTGTGAAGTTGGAATTGCACTTCTTTTTCTTTTCTTACAATATCTCAGTGTAATTTGATTTCGTTAAACTTCTTTACGCTGACTGAAAGGGGAGTTTCACTGTTCCGGCCCACTTAAGATCACAGTGAGCTGTATGTAAAACAAGTTTAACATCACCACTCTTAAAAAAATCATGCAGCTCGTTTTTCGTTAATTCGCTCCAAAGAGTTTGGAAATATAACAAAAATATCCGCAAAGCTGCACCAGGAAAATAACAAAAACACCGGTTGTGATTGGAATCGAATCAAAGCTGCATTCACCCTGCTGAATCTCCCACAAAGTCCATAAAAGAATTCCTCATTTTAATAAGCTTTAAGTCATTAATGACATGTGCTTCAAACGCACGTTTCAGCCTGAACACCATCTGCTTGTGACTCCAAACATGTTTGCACATGTCTCAATCTCTCATAAATATTAGAGAAGATAAGAGCCATTTCATATAATGTGGGTTTTTCTTCTTAGAAGCTTAAAGCGCGTCACTCTTAAAAACCTTCGGCCAATTAGAAGTGATTTCTTACTGTGAGATGCTTGATAAATAAAGGCCCTGCTCTGATAAGAGGAGTGCCAGATCAACTCGTCAGAGCTTTTTGGTCTCTGTTGGTGTCCTGTGATTCCAGCCTCAGTTTAAAAAAAGCCTCATTTATAGATCAGAAAAGAAAGAAGCAGTGAGAAGAACTCACAAAGGGCCTTATTCAACCAAACATGAAACATGAGCTTAAATCTGAGTACATGTTCGTGGCAACAAATCCACACACACACACACACGCACAAATACGGCACTGCTGTCAGGTCACAGATATGCATGAGAATATCAGTGTCTGATATGGGTGCTTTTAATAATTCAGAACAAAGCTGGGGTCGTATCTTAGATGTGTTATGAGGCTATTGTCCTCAGGGAGACGCAGAGGGACAGATGCAGCTTTGGAGCAGTGAGAAGGCTTTCAGCATTGTGGGGGGAAATCAATGCTCTGAGTAGTGACTAATAAACCCCTCCTCAGTGGTCTAATACTGGGGTGGTTATTATATCGCAGAGGGCAATGCAGCATCGAGGGACTATTATTACTGTACAAATGGAGTGTGTTCACATTCAGCTGAGGCAGAGGTCAGGGGCTGAGTACTTGTCCGTGCACACTCTGTCACAGATGATGAAATTAATAAAAAAAAATGTGCAGGGTTGCACTCGGCTGTTGACAACGTGTGCACAAAAGCAAGCACAAACAAATCATCAGTGTTGTTGCAGCGTCTGTTCGGGAAAAAGTAATCCTCAGACACTGGGACATGTAATATCCTTTATTACGTCCTTCCTGTCTGGAAGATGAAAAGTAAACCTTTTTGTCTTCCAGAGGAATGAAAGCATCGAGGTGCTGCTAATCAAAATGACTTGACTAACTGTGAGCACCTCTGTAAAAGAAGTTTTGGAAGTTTGCGGGTCTAAAGCATTCAGGTGTGTGTTAACATAAGCTTATGCTTCTTCCTGCTCCTTTTTGAACATGAACTTTATTTGGAGTTGTGGTTGCTCGTTTTCCTTTTGTTTTGCTTTGTTCATTTGTCTCTTTTAATTCTATTTTGTTGTACTTTTTCAACATGTTCAAAATAAAGATTCAATCAAATCAAATCAAAACACAACACCACAGGATTCCCAGTGGAGGTTGCAGCAAATTCACCCCAAGGTCAGACCATACAATGCTGAGAGACAACAAAAGCTACAGGCCTCAGTGAACATGTTAGATGCTAAGGTCATGACAGTACAATTCAAAAAAGTATGGCTAGTTTGGAAGGGTTCTCTCTAAAATGATGTCATTTGGAAAGACAAGACTTAAATGGAGCCGTTTGGCCCCAAAGCACAGCATTGTCAGTAGTTAAAGCCAAAGAACATATCAGCACAAACACCTCATATAAGCTGTGAAGCACTGAGGTGGAGAGCTGATGATCTGGGCACCTTTACAGCCACTGAGTCGACCATGAACTCCTCTGTATCCCACAGCGATCCACAGTCGAAGTTGAGGCAATCTTTCCTGACAGTTTTGTCCAAATTGTGTAAAGTAACAGGACAATGGGCCCAAACACAGCATGGAATCTACAACAGAACAGTCTTGATATGTGCTCAATCATCCAGGTAAGGAAATCCCCCCCAAAAATGAACAGAATCAACTTTTTGGGTACAAAAGAACAGCTCAAAAAGAAAATCAAGGAGTTGCAATGGTCCAAAGTCCAGATGTCAACCCGAATGAAATGCTGTGGTTGGCCCTTTAGAGAGCTGCGCATAAACAAAAGTAAACCTCAGAGAACTAAACTGCATACGGTCCTGTGAAAACTGCACACGACTCTATTTGGGTTTTCAACTGCAGATGGATGACATATTAAAGAAAAACCCAACGTTTCCTTCTTTCCACTTCCACTCAAAAAGGTCAAGGATCACTGAAAATGTCATATCATTTTCAGTGGATTTGATACTGATCCACAGCCATTTCATTTCTTCCGTGGTGCCTTTGGGGACCCACCCCACATTTCAAAATGTTTTAAGACTGAACTTTGCTTAGCTTAATGAGCAGAAGTCGGGATGCATTCCTCTGGAAGAAATTTGTGAGGAATTTCTTGTGTTAGCCCACATCTGTGGCTCCAACTTTAGACTCGCCTATTTTGTGGTACGTTTTGGATCACGGCGTATTGGCATTGGCATTGTTTCTCCCAAGCCTGTAGGGAGGAGTCAGCACCTCGTGTAACTGGAAAAGTAGAACCTCGGTATAACAAAGCTATCAGATCTTCTTCATAGGAGGCTTTTCGAAATAATTTGTCACCATTTTGTGCGCTCGCTTGAGGTCCAGGATGAGCTGCCTGGCCTCTGTTGGGTTTTGGTTTGTGCTTCAGGCTCTGGTGGAGGCCTTCTTCTATGTTTCTAGTTGGTGCCCACTGCATTTTGGTCTTTGCTGTAGGTTGTGGCCACTCTGGAATTCTGGGTTCATCACCACTGTGTGTTTTGGTGTTGAGTCTGGTGATTTGGGAGGCCTTGGTGGGAGTGGAACCACCATACTGCCAGTTTCTAGTTCCTTATCTGTCCTTGCTTGAGTTTCTGGTATGTGGATCTCATTGTGTTGCATTTTGCCCTCTGTGATAGTAGATAGTTCAACCATCATGGTTGTCGGAGGCGTTAGCATTGGTTGACATTTCAGTTTGCTGCCTCTTTCACCTACCGGATTGCGAGAACTGTCAACACTTTCCTACTTATATCCAGTTTTTCCTAATAGCCTCACACATTTTTTCTCTTTTAGTACATGTCATTTGCTTAGTCTGTCATGTACTGTATGCTTTTCCCTGTTGCACTTGCAGGTGAAGATTTGAAAACAGAACTGGTCCATGTGAGGCAAATCATCACGTTCTTTAGAGCAAAATTAAAAAGGAAACAAAAATAAAGGCACAGAGATGCAGTTACCATCAAATATGAGTTTATTTTTTTTATAAATCATTCTTACAAAATTGGAATTTATTCTATTTAATCTGTGACCTCTATAAAAGTCTTCTCTTAATTACAAGGTAGGAGGGAGGAGAAGGCATCAGGACAGCTGGGCTTGACCAAGTCCTTACAGATCAACAGACACTACTGCTGATTGCTCGCATAATACAGTCAATCACTGATAAATAATCAGAAACAGGAAGTGGTCATGCGTTGTCGCCTTAGCAACAGTGTCCGAACACAACAATGAAAATGGGGCGTCAAAACAAGAGAATGGAAACTGTGACTCATCCAGTGTATGAAGGCAGGGATATGAGTCCTCCGCACATGGTGCTATTGCTGCCCGTCTACTGGAAATAACAAGTCTGGGACAGACAGTGCTCAGCATGTCAGGAACTCGCATGTTGATAAAAAGGCACAAATCAAATCGAGAGCAGACCAGTTTCCAGCGCACACGCCAACCGCCTGGCACGTTTTGGGTAAACCTTCTTCCATCTGTGTTGAAGCTCAAGATGATAACTTGCATAATGTTTCCCTGATCAAATGACGGAGGCATTTTAAGGGGATACGAAGTTTAGTTGCTGTTTCTTTTCCGAGGGCCTCGACTCACATCCATCACACTCTGAGCTCTGGAATTGAAAGACTGTAGATACACTTCCGTTTCTGTTTTGCGAGCTACGACTTGAGCCCCAAGCTGCGACAAAGACAATTTAAACCACTGTGTCACAGCCTCAGACGCATTACTGTAATGCATGAGGGGAAGATGTTGCGGCAGAATGTGAAAATGTTTCCATCTGGTGCAGGAGAGAGAGGGCTGGGGGGCCCCAGCTGCTTATTATTTTCCACGTGTCAGTTGGCGTAGTCTTTATTGGGACTTTACAATTTCACTCCCGCAGAGAGCCAAGATGGAGCGGCCCAATCCAATTCTGGATCACTGGTGTATGCAATCTTTTCCAGGAGTTAAAACTCCACTACGGCGACTCTGGAAATGTTATCTCACTTGGGGAGCTCTGTATTAGAAAGTGTGTGATAGATGCTTCCCCTGGAAAACCGATGCAGAGTGCGACATAATACGAGCTGTATATCGGCATCTGTGTGGATTAATGTGCACAGCGTGTAGAAAATAAACTGAATAAATACCACTTACTCCCCTCAGCGATCGGTCTCAATGTTCTCGCCGCGTCATCTCAAATCGTACACAGTCTTGTTTTTATTCCTTTTCAAAAAATAAATATGTCTATGTACAGTGCTGAGACCAGGGATTTGAAATAGGTGGTGGGTTGTTTTTTTTAGTGTGTGTGGATTATCTGCAAAGCTGGGGAATGTGGTTGTCTTGAGACGATCAACAACAGTAACTCTGACAATCAGACATAAAAGGCTTGATATGGATTGAAACAATATGATTCTTTTGAAGATGAAATAGAGGCCAGATGCAGACCGTGCGAGGAGCATGAGTTTCCCAGAATCGCAACGTATCGATGTTGTTACACTGACGACGAATCTCCCGGGAAACGACTCCAAGTTTCAAAGTTTCAGAGTACAAGCACAAACAGCGATATTCAAAACAGTGACATGATTGGGGCAAAAAAAAAAACGAACAAAAAAACCAAAACAACACAAGTTAGTCCTGCTGGGTTTGATATGACTCGCGGAGACAGAGCAGCTCTGCTATAGTAGCATTTGGATATGGCACTTCAAAGCACGTCTGTCCCCTTTGTTGAAACAGCGACGGCTTTACGATACATTTTACATCAACTCTTTGTCAAGCGAAAATAAAAACAAAGTGTGAAGAAAGAAAAAAAAATGAATCTAAAGCAGCCACTGAATGTGTGACACTGATGTTGACGATGTCAGTGACAGCTAACTGATTAACACGCTGAGCAGCTTTGGCTGAGACATTATGCTGAATGCCTGTCTGACAGAAAAGGCCACTAAAAGCATGCTGCTTTCATTCAAGTGTCTGCAAACTAAATGTGTGACTGGACCGCCTGTGCTCCCGCCTGCACGCTGCATGCAGACCTAATGACAGCATATAGCAGCTCAGCTATGAGCCAGCCACCTTTATTTTTTCCTTCCCCTGACAGCCTGTCTTTAAAAATGATCAATTAAAGGTCAAGATATCTAGTTATTTAAGCATTTTGATCTGGTTGTCCGATACCAATAAGATCATTTAAGGTGCAAAAAAGTGTCAGCCGTAGAAAAGACACCGAGCGTGGCCACCGTCTCTCACACACACACACACTGATGCAGGTAGTGTGTGCCAAGGGGGAAAAAGCTGTCATCCCAAGGATCGCATTAGACAGCAGGTCGTGTTTGCCAGTCACTGTTTTCGCAAACGCTATGCTCCATAATGTTCGGTGTTTCATCAACAGCGTGTCCCCTGGGAATAAAACAGCACTTCAAACGAAATACCTAATTGAAGCCTAAACGTATCTCTGCCTGACAAATGGAGGAGAAAACCTTTTGTCAATTTAATGGCTCCGAGGTCCTTGGATATGTCACGGGGGGGTGGGAAAAAAATAAAAATAATCAGGGCGCCAGGAGAGACACATAAAAGTGGCGATTACAATATTTCAACACAAGAGCATCTCAAACGGATGTAGGCAACGTGATGTGCAATAAACAACTTTAAAGGCAAACCCTGATGTCAGAATGGCACTGATGCGCTCAGCGTTAAAAATCTGTCCTCTGAAATGATGCTGGTCACCAAAGACCTGCTATGCCCCCCCCCCCCACAGTAAGGTTGGTGCTCAGAGACCATGCAGGAAGAGGGGTGGGAGGGAGAGAGAAGAGGGGGAGGAGAAAAAAAAAGTTTGGGTTAGAATGCAACGTTCTGCTCCATTTCATCCAGAAATGTTCATTTCGCTCATTCCAACGGAGGGAAAATGTACTCCGCTCGGGCTTATGGTTGGATGAGCCAACTTTTCAAGGGTCTGCACACACAACACACACACGGACAAGAGGGAGAGCAGAGAGTCTGAAGGGAGGGAGGGGATAAAAGATGATGAAAGTAAGTGGGGAAAAAAGATGAGAAAAGTACAACTGCTGTGGCGAGTACGAGAGGAAAATGGGACATGAAATGAGATGTTTTCCTAACTTATCTTTGTGATAACACGGGAGCAGATAGACCATTATAAAAGCCAGATCAACTCATAAAGGAAGGAGCCAAGGGTAGGAGACGCGGGGTGTTTGTCAACTGCTGAGAATATTAGGAAGTAATGGCTGCTAAAAAAAAAAAGGACAGATTGGACAATGTTTGTTTTTTAACTTGAGGCAACAAAATATTCATGGGTTTACAAAGCAGGAGTTTGGTAATGAGTCCAGTATTATGTCCTGATCCAGAGTAGGGAAGGTTGCTTGGGACAGCAGGTTGGGTTGCCAGGTTTGAGATCACAAACACCTTCCTGTCTTCTACCATCGCCCCGCACATGTGCCGAAAGAGCAGGAAAGACGATGTCGTCCTCGTCCGTGTCATACAAAAAATATTCTATCCAAGAGTTCTTGTCGTCAGTAGTGCGTGCTGCGTGTTTGCACATGTGTGAAACACAGTACTGTTTGGTAAGCCCGTCAGTTTGTGTACTCTCTTTGCTTTTTTCACACCCAAACGGCCTACGCTCGTTTCCCGTTTATCCCTTTCCTCATCGAGTCTTTCCAGCAGCGGCGCTCTGGTCATTGGCAATGTGCTGAGTGGAAGACAGACCTGTGTCTCTCCCTGTCCATCCCCCTGTACTCTGATGACTCCTAATCTCCACAGAGTCTCTTTCCCCCTGCGTAGGGTCTCCCCCGAGGGGGCGGCGGTCTTGTCAGAGCCTCTCGATGTCCCTGTATTTCTTGCGGAGGATAGAGACCTGGTCCTTAAACAGGACGGGGTCCAGTCTCATCTGGGAATGGACCAGTGGCATGGCGCCAAACCAGCTGGCGAACTTGTTCATGCAGGTCTGCCGCTGGGCGAAGTGGTCTGGGTCAGCCCAGCGAGAAGCCCTTGAAGACTGGAGGGAATGGAGAAGAGGAGGAAAAACAAAAAGAAGAAAAGTTAGAGTTTTCAATAACAGATGCAGATCCTGGGGGAAGATGAAAAAACGAATTACAAGTCGACTGTGTTTTGGAACAAAATCCAGTTTTGCAGATCTTTATAAAATATCAGTGGTAGCGTCTTAAAAGAGCCTCAGATGCTTTTCCTTAGTTTCTGTCATATGTATCCTGTTACAGCAGTGAATAATTATATTAAACATGGCCACATTTTCAAATAATGAGCTCAGAATACGTTCGGGTAATCCCTGTGAGCCAAAAGCATAGACGTCAAACTCCTCTAAATCCTATAAATGTGGAATATTTTAACTGTAAATCATTCCAAGCAAAGACAAAGTATGGAAATGACCGCAGTAGGACCCCTTTAAAACAATATTTTGCAAGTGTGCAAGAGTTTATGAGACCAAATCTATGATGTATGAGTGAGGCAGAGAAAGAAGGAACTACTTTACTTTTTCATTTTGCCACAGTTCATGTCATATGCATGAGCATGACCGAGGAGGGCTGCATTTCTCTTATGTCTGCATTATTCCATTATAGCAAGCATGGCGAATAAAGCCGGGATAATAATCTCATGTGGACATGCACATGTTATATTTATACTATGCAGTGCTTGAAATGATCGGAGCCTTGAATTCCTCTTCTTAATGGTTGGCTGTAGCTCAGGAGGGAGAGCAGGTCATTGCTAATCGGGAAGTTTGTAGTGTAATCCCTGGCTGCTCCAGTCTGCTTCCCAAAGTGTCCTTGGGAAAGCCACTGAGTGTGAATGTTAGATTCACACTCAGTAGAAAAAAAGTGAATGTGTGTCAACGGATGAATGAAACATGTTTTATAAAAGGGCTTCAAGTGCTCCAGCAGAGTAGGAAAGCACAATATGTCAACCGGTCCATTTAGTAATGACGCATTTTTTGTCACCGGTATCCAGGCGGACTCCTGTATTTTTACATAAACCCTCCTGATAATAACAGGAAATAACAATAATACATAATAATACAATGAATTGCATTTATATAGCGCTTTTCGAGACCCTCAAAGCACTTTACAATTCATTCACTCTCACATTCACACACTGGTGGAGGCAAGCTGACAGAAGAGAGGCTGCCATATCGCGCCATCGGCCCCTCTGGCCATCAGTAGGCGGTAGGTGAAGTGTCTTGCCCAAGGACACAACGACTAAGACAGACAGAGCTGGGGATCAAACCGGCAACCTTCCGGTTACAAGATGAGCTTCCCACCCAAATTTTTTGATTGACCGCTAAAAGAGTAAAAAGCTAACTGGGGTAGCCGTGGCTCAGGAAGTAGCGTGGTTGGCCACCAGTCGGAAGGTTGGCGGGTCAGATCCTCATTTGCTGGGGTTTGAATATGTGAAGGTTAAGTATCTGTTCATAACTGACTAAATACTCCAATACTGAAACTCTTATGTTATGCTAGTTTCAATCCACTTTTCAGTCAGCGTATTCGGACCACGATCATTAACAAGCAGGGATTTTAGACGTATACTAAACAAAAAGAAGCTCTTTGACTCAATCGTGGTCAAACTTTCATCGTAGTAACAAGAGAAAGCCATCACTGAACGATGGCTGATGTCAACTTCTCTCAATAAATCGTCAGCTCCGCCATATTTGACAGGCCGGAGCCCGATGAGAAAGCGTGACGCAAGGCTTCGGGACCGACACGACTCCTTTCCCTGCTTTTGTCTGTGTGCCGTTATGACTTGCCCTGTTTTTTTTTCTTTGTTTTTTTCCGTGGCCCATACCAGAGGATTTTTAAAGAGAATAATTCATGCTGTTCATAAAGCAGCACGGCTTCGCTCCAGCTGAAAGGCCATGACACACTCATGAAGGGAAGAAAACAACACTGGCTTCAGCATGAATCACGGCTCATGAAAAGAAGGACAAATTCAAAGAGGTCCGTATAATAAGGCTGCTCTGTATCCAGCATTGTAAATTGTTACGGGCTCAGTCACATCCAGTAATGAGATGCAAACCAGTTTTCTCGACCGGCCGTTATCCTCTTCTTTTTAAAAGAACCCCAACGCTAATAAGCTCTCCAAGTGCAACAAAGAGATGGATCTAAGCATTATAAGTATTCATACTTCCACATGTGGTGTGGTGTAGTGGTCACAGCTGCTGCCCTCTTACCTGTCCCATCATGGTCTCCTTGTACTGTTTCTTCTGTGTGACCTTGATGGGCGGCAGCTTGGTGACAGCAGAGACCAGGAAGTTCATCAGGATGTCCTCACAGTTGGCTAACTGGTCCACCATGCTCTTCAGGCTGGTGGGCAAGTAGTTGGTGTACAGGAAGTGATAATACCTGAGAGGACAGGAAGAAGAGTATTTAGAGGCTCCCAGATTGAAACCAGTGGCACTTAAATCCTTAATAGTCTTAATTCTACTGAAGCTCTTATTTTGAAAGTAATGCTTTAAAAACTTCTAAATAAACAGTGTTAGAGCTTCAAAGGTTTAAAGCCGGTTGTGCTGACAGCTTAAATTAAATATAAAAAGTGAATATTTCACATTAAAGGCCACACCATCGCTGTTAAAGCTCTTGGATGGATTGAACGAGTGACTTATTGAAAGTGATTAAGCGTTCGGCTGCGGTGATTGGCTGACTTAAGCTTAATGGACTGCTCCCATCACAGCTGAGTGAAGCCATATTGAAGCTGACAGGACTGTAGTCGAACTAAACGCGGGAACTATCGAGGGCTGCGCGGCAGACAAATTGACATTTTTTGGGGATAAAACATACTCCGTGTCAAAACACTGGTTTCCCGAGGCTGTGCCACACTGAACATCACATCTACTTTCATAATCTACAGATCACCGCATCAAAGCGCCGCATCAAAAGAAAGACAACCGAACACTGGAGAGCAGAGCGGAGAACAGCGAGCCTCGTGTAACGGAAGGAGAACGGAGCAGGAGTGAGGAGAATCAAAGGACATGGCGCTAAACAGCTGCTTGAGAAGGGAGGCTTTAGTTTAACAGCCTGAAGTGCACCTGTGATAGATGGCAGCCCCAGTCAGGACCATCGAATAGTCGTTGGTCCATTTGGAGGTGTAGCCCCAGCGCTCCTTGTTGCTGTCCCAGAAGTGGCTGCGGGCGGGGTAACCGACGATTCGCTCTGGAAAACTCTGCCAGACAGTGAAGGCAAAGTCCACCTAGACAGAGATTAAAACATTAAAAAATCAGAACATTAATCATTTCTAATAACAAACTCTAATTTTGTACCCTCTGGACACCTTTGTGGCAAAAATGTACACATTTTTTTTCTTCTTTTTAATCAACTTCAGCTGATCAAAATGAAAAGCTACTGTTCAGCACTTTTCATATACAATAACCCCCACTATAGAGAAACTGTGCAAAAAAAAGCACGACAGCCTGGTACTGTAAAAAGCTGCTTTTGCTTTGGTATTTTTGGGGGAGAGAAGGATAAATAAGGGGGAATTTTCACAGCTCAGCAGATGTTTTCCAGCTTCTCGGGATGCACCGATCCAATGTCTGGATCAGATTGTAATCCAGTTCCAAGGGTCAATCTTTTCAGTCTTGTTCTTTGTTGTTCTACATCTTCTAGATCATTAGTGGAGTAAAGCAAATCCAGCATGGACGCCAAGGAGGTCGACGTCAAGGTCACACCAAATCAGTAAAAACTTTATGGATCTTGACCTCAATTGTTAGCGCCCAAGGTCAAAGTTGACCCTAAATCTTTTAACTTATGTTGGTCCAGTTTCTTGTTATTTACCAATAAATAGCAAATCAGTCAATTTGTATTCTTGGATATCAGCAAAACAATATTTCAATGGCGTCAGAACGGTCCTCTATCAGTAAAAAAAAGGTTGGATAAGTGCATCCCTAATATTCACACACCATTAACGTCATTATAAACCCTTGTTGGAATGAGCTGTGTTAAATATTTTCTTACAAAAGACAAATAAAGTGAAGTTGTTGTTTTCATTAATCAAAGGTGTAAAAAACGTATCTATTTACGGTGTGTTGTGTGAGGGAAAAAAAGATAAAGAGGAAATGAAAGAGACTACAATGAAACCCAACAAAGGAACAACACGTTCAAAACACACTCGAGTGAAAATACAACTGAGGCAAAGCCTCATGAAACACAAAGCAGTCTTTCCTAAGCAGCTGCTTGTAGCAAACGACTGCAGCGACGATCAAAGCGCTCAATCAAATAATTAGACAAAAACATCAGAAAGGTCTCAGCGGCTCCTCAAACAGCCTGCTCTGCATTACACCGCACATCACTATACTACGCTGTGAGGCTGCTTATGTTGTTGAATATTAAAAAAGAAGAGAAAAAATTTAAAATCCACCATAAAACAGTATCTATCTGCTCTTCCTGCCAAAATTTGTACATATGAAAAAGCCCTGAAGGAAAATAATGACTTTCTTCTGCTCCTGCCTGCAGTTCAAAATAAAAGAGATGGAAGCTGAAGGATGTTACAATCACAAGGAAAATATTTCACCGACTTTCATAATTCTGCCTACTTTCCGACTGAACCGGGAGTCATATTCAAAGGAGTGAGTATCATTGTTAAAGACAGCTCTCGTCGTCGCCATCTTCACTTAAGGGTGGAGAGAGTCGGATAAAAATGAGAAAACAAAGACGCCGGGGCCAGAAACTGCACTTTGAATCATTTGTTTAAAAGGAGTGGGTGGATGGGGAGATTACCGGTTTTTACCCTTCATTTTTTTTCCCCCTTTTCTCAAGTTTCCTGGCATCGACATTCCCTGAGCTCAGAAACTTTGAGAAGTGTTTGCTCTCGTGATCCAACCGTCTTCCTGGGAGTAACGCAGGTTGATTCAGTTGTCGGGGATGGATTTTCCCTTCTGTCTTGCCATCTTGATCTGCCACATAAACTCATTTCTTTCTGCTATGTTCTGGCTTCCCATGATGCCGCGCCAAAACGTATCCCCAGGAAAAGAAAAAAAAAGAAAAACAGGAACAGCCCCGCCAGCATGTGGAACAAAAATGCCCATAACAGTGCTGCCGTCGAATAGGGGATAGGAGAGGTAGAGCCAAAAACAGGAGGTGGGCGATAGGAAGAAAAGGAGAGGGAAGGAAAAAGAGGCAGAAAAGCGCACGAGAAGAGAGAAAAGCAAGCAAGGCCTCGGGAATGAAAGTTAGACTTTAAAAGATTAAAGAACCAGGCCACAAATTTTGGGGGGCCAACCTGAAAGCAGCAGGGACAAACAGAAAGAAGCTAAAAGCTAAAAAAAGGAAATGCAATAAGGGAGTGTCGAACTTTACAACTCAAGTGGAGGAGACGGCGATACAAAGGAGAGTCGCTGTGTTTATTAGAGGATACCTCAGTGGTGGACAAAACTGTGTCTTCATCCAGGCTGAGGACAGCGTCGGTCACAATGATCTCGTAGGGCAAAAAGCGGCTGCTCATCACCTGCAGGGGGAGACACAGAGCACAGAGGGTTAAAAATCAGTGGACTGACATAAGCTGGGATCCCATCTTCAAACTACACTAATAGCAAATCTAGATCCGAGCACAGCGGGAAATAATAAAGTAAACCTCTCTGACATTCATGCTCTTATTAAACAGCACTCGTGCAGACAAGAGTTTTAATCAAACTTGACTGAACAAGACGTTTTCAATTTTGAGATAATGCATTTCAGGGAATTGTTGCACTTTAAAGACAAAATCACGTGAGCTGGTTTCTGCTGCTTTTTTGGCGCTGACGGTATGAGAAAACTTAAACACGGCATAACCGAGTTGTCTTTTTTTCCCTTGCCAGGCAAACTGCAGCTTTAGGGTCACCTCCCAGGATCAAAACTTTCATTTACAAACGGAGAACCGCCTGCACAGTCTGTAAACCTGCTGTAACTGGTTTTCTTTGGCACTTTGGGGAAGCAATTTTCATAAACAATGAGATAATATCCCCCTTTTTACATCGGTATGACAACCCCCCTTTTATGTTGGTGTGTTACGGCGTTTAGCTGGAATTGTGTTTCCGTCTGCCTGATCAAAGCGAGTTCACTGTTCACTCTCCTTTTAGCTGTTTGTTAGATTTATATCAACTCCTGGCAGAAATGTGTCTCTCTTTAGCTCCTACATGCTCCGTTATTCACCGACTAACAGACAGACAATTTGCATTTTTGTCCGTTTTATCTCGCTGAAAATGGCTGCAGTGAGAGTGTCGAGTCTGAATTAAAATTGTTAAATCAAGGCAAGAGTCCCCCCCCACCCCCCACCCCCCCACCCCCGAAAATTGAGCTGAAAGATGCTAAGGAGTGCTCAGTGGAGCTGAGAACAAAACATAAACGGAGAGCTTAAAACAAGAGACACATTTTAGAATAACAACTCCGTTTGCTCCTGAAGTCTACCACATTCATTTTTAACAATTCCTCATAATTTCATGAGATTCAGAGCTGACAACAAACAGCTGCTTATTTACACACAGAGTGTACAGGTGGAGGTGTATTCCTGCCCACCCGATCAATACACGTTCACTATTCATTCTCTGTTTAGCTGATTGTTAGATTACTCCCGGCAGATGCTGCTTTGTTGTTTCACCAGCTAGCTGCTTACTGACAGATAAAGCTGGCAGCTATTTGCTTGGTTTGTGCTACCAACCTCAGTAACAAGCATCAGACTAAAGTTGATGATTAGAGGTTTTACTGTAGCAGAAAATGGCTTCAAAGTGAGACTGCACATGTTGACACTAAAGTAAAACAGTCAAATTGAGGCTAGTAACTCCCAAATCTGCTGAAAGTTGCTAAAAAGCTGAAAGTAGAGCTCATGAAAATCACATGCAAGTAGTTATTATTCTAAAAATAGCACTTATAGCTGCTGTATAGCTCAGTCACAGGATGGCCACCTCCTTGGGACTAGAAAAACACCTAAATAAATAAATTGGTGCCTGCCTGATGATTGCTTTAAACTTTCTTGCTTTTGCAACTGTGTTTGCAACATCCTCTAGGCCTGGCTGACCACGTTTGATTGCAAGGCCACTGCACAGGTCACCTGGTGGGAAACTTGTCTGATGGCAAATAACTGCCAACACGTTGCACTCAAACAGAATCAGTCTGTGCTGATGTTAAAGCAACGATGTATCTCTTTGCAATAGGGGACTGAACTGGTTGCCAACTGGTTGGATTCTGGTTATATTCTTACATGCAATTAAGGCTGCTGAGGGCTTATGTCATTATGGAGTTAACTTGATATCCTGCAGCATCTACGTCACTATTTGTGGAGGAATTTCTGAAGTGCTGTTGCAAATCTGGTGGGTTCTGGCTGGAGTCTGAGAGGAAGTAATAAATGTGAATTTCTTGCATGTAGATGGAAAAAGATTTGCAATTGCTGCCGATTTATCCCAGATATATCACAGTTAAGTTAATCACCTAACTACCACAAAAAGATTGCACTTAATTGCCAACTTTACGTCCGTCTTACTGCCATGTGATCATCATCAAGTCAGCAAGTGATCACATCTTTGAAGTCAACTACTTCCAGGGCAACAACATCCCAAGTTTATCACAAACAGTCGCAATCATTTTGCTCGTGGTGCAACCTCCAGTCATTGTTTCCCCTCGTGTACCTGGAGCACTGCAGACGAGCCCACCCGCTCTGAATCGCTACCCACGGCTCACTAGACCCCAGTGCTAAATGCAGAGTTTCACCTTGAGATAAATCTAGGAATAAAAATTCCTTTTTGCTCTCAATATCTGCCACATGCATTTTTAATGATCCCTCACAAATTCATGAGATTCAGAGGAGACAACAAGCCATGACATCAACAAATAGCGGTGGCACAGCGAATGAGAGAAAAGCCAATATCCTACGCTTTACTGCAGGCTGCACCCTGTCGTTTGCTACAGAGATAGAGTGCTGATACTAGTTTCCATTACTGCTGCAGGGTCGACTCGCTCTTTTAAATCAATAAAAACACACAAATGTAGTCAGACACCTAGTGTGAGTCATGTGTCTTACATGTGGCCCAAATTTACTTTATCTCAGCCGCTGTTGAAAACACAATATGTATATTTAACAGTGGATGAAACCCAACTGTATAATTCATGACGGTCCTTGAATATTTACTGGAGGCAGAGAGAGTGTTCGTGGATGGGGGTTTGGTGGGTGGATGGAAAGATCAACATCTTGAGGATATTTAGACTTGTTTGGTCTTTGGCTGTGATGAAAGGCATTCGGATGAGAAAACAGCGGTTTCTCGGTGACAAAGAGCGTGCGTGTCGTAATCTGGATGTGCGCTCGAACTCGAACCGCCTCCCACGCAATTAGAAAACTGCAGAGAAACGCACAGCTTCAATGCGCGCGGACATATCGAGATACACGTCCCATATATGTAAACACTCTCACGCACCGTTGTTTAGTTATTCAGCACGGCTCTGAAGGTCAGGCCTCTCTGAGGATTCTTGTTCTTTTAAAGCACCGCCTGCACAGAAAAGCCATTACATTTACATTTAAGAGTGGTCAAAGCTGACCTCGTTTCCCTGTAAACACCTGCCATTGTCTGCCTGCCGAGCGTCACTGCTGACCTCACTCTCAACAGGTCTTTATCACTTCTGCAGGCGAAGGGCACCAAAAACAAATAAATAAATAAATCAACCAAATCGCTCCCAAAAATTCTGGTTTTGCAGTCGAGCTGCGGAAAGCCTCTTATCTACTGTAGTGCTCCAGCTCCTGATAACTTTTATTGTACAAGCAGTGTGACCAAGCAGTTTGTCCTGCAAACAAAAGGAAAGACACGAGTTCCTCAAACACTTAAATCAGAACTGATTTGCACAGCGTGCAGACTTCACTTGTCTGCCAGGTCCTTTAGATAACAGGAGGAAAGCACGTGACCAGTTTTACTGGATGACTCAAGGGACTTTTTGAAAATCTTTAAATTCAGCTGATTATTAGGTGAAACACAAACGTTTTAATACAAGAAGGAAAACACTTGATCTCAAATTAAAAAGCCTAAAGGAGTATAAAATAAGATTTCAGTCCTTTATGTGCAAATATATGTAAATTAAAAATTGTTTTACTATGTAAATGTTCATATTAATTAAGTTAAGTCCAATATCTGTTTTAAAAAGTGAAGACCTAATATATGCTCTTTATTTGAATTTGTTTTAATTTGACATGCAGGTGTGCTGTAATGAAAAGATTACAAGTCTGTGGTTGAACTCTTGATGTCTTGACTTAAATTTCATGAGTTAATTTTTATGAGTGTAGAGAAAAATAATGTTAATGACCTCATTTTCAGGCTAAGGGGAATCTAAATTGTTAACAAACTGCTCTAAAACCGCAGACACAGGCAGATGTAGCATCTGGTTATGACAGGTGGAATACCTTAAACCTGCTTATTATATGCAGACAGGAAAGCAGAGTGTGTGGGAAGGACATGCAGGAAATGCTCAGAGCCTGTTGCATATGGGCCGCCTGCTAAACCAGGTGAGCTAGAGCAACGCCCTTCCTGGTAGGTTTAGGGTCTTTTGTCAGTCGTGGACCCTTTTACAGTCAAAGACAATGAGCAGAGTTTCTTCTGATGTACTTCTTTGGGATTCAGGAGTTGCTACGCTGTGAGCTTGCAGGAAAATCAACCCCTTGCTAAATTTCATAACAATAAGATGAAGCCAATATTACCTTGAACCAGAAACAGCCCAGGAACCAAAGCACATCATCTGTCAAGCACGGTGGAGGTAGTGTTATTGCATAGACGTGTATGGCTGCCAGCAGGACTGGACCACTTTATTGATAATGTGACTGCTGATAGAAGCAGCGGGATGAACTGAGCTACACTCTCTGCTCAGCTTCAGCCGAACACTGCAGAACTGAGCAGACAACGCTTCACACTGCAAATGGATCACAACCCAAAGCAAACTCCAAAAGCAACCCAAGAGTTTCTCAAGGCAAAGATATTCTTTGCTTTTTCAGTCATTTGACCTCAGAGCATGTTTTTCAGTTATTAAACACCAAACTGGAGGCAGAGAGACCCAAAACACGCAGCAACTGAAGGTGGCTGCAGTAGAGGCCTGGCAGAACATCTCATGGGAATAAACACAGCATTTGTGTTTATTCCCATGGGAATGCGAACTGAGATTCTTTAAATTCTTATAATGCTTCACATGTTGCTCACACAGCAATTCTAAAATTCATCACACTCCCGCTCACACGGTGGAGCCCGACAGAGATGGGAACGGCCTGTCCGGCCAAGTGCCGCGGTGTTCCCGTCTTCCCGAAAATACTCCAGCGGCGGCAACAAGAGCGGATGAAAATTTCAGCTGTCGCTCACATTCGAACGGGGTGGAAGAGCCGAGGTGCGTGAGTGACAGCGAAAGATGAAAAAACGCTGGAGAGAAAATGAGAAGAAAGATGAGAAGCGGTACCCTCCCTCTCATTTCATTGTCGTCATTACTGCCATGATGTCCTGCGGGCATAAA